ATGCAGTTTACTATTCAGGACCTGACCTCATAATTTGAGTGGAATATCATGTGTGTGTGGCAAATACGCTTCCTGCTGTTTTACATAAAATCCCTTAAGAAGCATTTTTGTGGCCATTATCAGTTCCTTTAAACCAAACCTTATTGATTACAGCTGGAAATGAAGCGGCCAGTTCGAAACAAAATCTGTGGACACTCTTATGAAGAAGAGGCCATTCTAAAATTTATCCAGACTCGAAAGCAGCAAAAGAAGAAAGTCCGGTAAGCTAACAATATGTGGAAAAGCTATTTGCTTTGCTGTGTAAGTGGAATTTTACTCCACTGGTTCTAGGAAATGTATTTGGATTGGCAAGGCTGCAGGAAGTAATACCTCAGTGTCTGCCCAAGTCACAGCCTCCTCATTAGTACTGTACACGTGAAGGAGCTTTTCTTTTTAATCAAAACAATGTGTAAGGAAATATTCAGGAAGTGTGTGGGGAAGTTACAGCCACTCGTGGTACCTGCACAACAGAAGCAAAGAGATTTTGTATAGCCAGCAAGAGAAATTCCAGCTTCCTAAAATATAGTGGCTGATTTTCTTTAGCAAGCCCTGAAATTAATGAAAAAAAGAATAAACATCCCCTCTGTGCATCCTCTTTGCAGTTGTATTTCGATACAACTGAGAAATATTAAAACACTTAAGTGAGTGCTAAAGTGAGAAGTATTAAAGCACAATGTTTTAGGCAGTACAGAGTTTAAGAACAATCAGACATAGCTTTAAGAATGATCAGACAGGATTGTGCAATACCTATTATGATGCAATTAAATAATTCTTACTTTATATCATCAAAGCAGCCTGCTACTTTCCACACAGGACATATTTTTTGAATGAAAAGGTGTAACAGTGGAATATTTAAACCTGGATCTCTCTGCTCAAAGTTTCAGACTGAAGAAGTTTTTGATATTTAAAAAAAAAATTTTTTTTTTTTTTTAAAAAGAGAAGACAAAGGGCTCAAACTTTTTAGAGAAAGTTTAGAGGACATATAATTTCATCACTAATTTTACATTTGCTTTTACACCATATACACTAGAGCACCATGCTTTGGGGCTTGTGACCTCATGGAGACTTAGCAGTTGTGGACTTTTTAATAACGTGCGGTTTGTGCACGCTCAGGAAAGTCTGTCATAAACTCACAACCTGATTTCCCCAACAGGCAGCTACTTCTCCATCCATTGCTCTTGCATTTCCATTAGACTCTATGTACTCTGCCATGGGGGATACAACGGTAGAGTGGGACTTTTTATTCCTCACTCCTGCTATAAAACTAAGCATCAACTGGGATGTCCAGCCACTACCTTAGTGTCGAGACATCTTGAAGAACGAAACAGATGTGTCTTGCCTGTGTTATGAGGTCTAGGGAGAAAAAGGTGAAGTGAGTGCAATATCCTGGGAATAAAAACAAAACCAGCAATGTGGCTGAACAGAGTCTTGTCTGGAAAAACGAATGAGATTTAGGAAATAGTTCACAAATTGGAGAGAAGAAAGTGAGTGTTCTGGAGGATAGGGACAGGTTAGGAACCATGTGCTCAGCAGCCCAACACCGTAACAAAAATACCTTCTTCAATACAGAACTGCATTTAGGATGTTCATCTCTAAATAATTCTACATGACAGAAAATGTCATGGTAGTAGATATTGTCACGGTGAATCAAAAGTTTCACTGTTGCTGAAAAACTAATAGAGTCACATGACTGAATTTTTATTTTACCTTTTAAGAAATCAAAGCCTTAGAGAAATTTTAGAGTTAAAAAAATCATGTAAGCTGTCCAGCACCTAGCTCTAAAAGCTACCTTATACACGAAATAAAGTTATTTGTGCAGTCAGAATACTGAAAGTTCTTAATTTTGAGTTTGCAACCTTACTGTTTTCACAGTAGTTACTCTGTTTGCTAGAAAAGCACACACACAGCAATAACTCGGTATCACTGTAACTAAGTTAAGAAAGGCCACTTGGTTTTCTCTGCCCAGTCTCACTGACTCGCTGTAATTTTAACCTTTCTTGTGAAAATGCAGTCAGTTTTGAAAAACCATAGCCTGCTGTGCTGGGGAGACAAGCCAGCTGATGCCACAACTTCCCCACACGAGCACCCTGTTCTTGTGGTGTTGCTACTTGACTGTGCTCCTGCCAGCAATATTCAGGTGGAGGCAGGTGTCTTGACAGAGCGGAGTTGGGGTTAGGGGTATTCCTTCTACCCGGACTCTGAAATTAAAGCTGTTGCTCACTCTGGAGTTACAGAAGTGCCTGTTTCCTCACACGTACTTCCCAGCTGGGATTCACGGGATCCCTGCGGTGCCCTTGGCAGCACCCTGGCTGAATGTCAGCTCTTCAGCTGACGTACGCACAGCCACCGGTTTTGTGCTGATAGACTCATCATAGACTCCTTTAGGCAACTCTTACGTGTCAGTTTGCTCACTATTTTCCACTGCCTGGAAGGACATACTAATACTTTATGCTTACAGGAAACTTTGGAAACTTTCTAGGTGCTTGTTATTCATTAATCTGGCAAACTATTGCTCTACTAAGGTGACAAATGGGAAAACTGAGGCACAGAGCAATTGACTTATCTATGACAAACAAAGTAAGCTGGGCACAAATGTAGAGTAAAAGCTACAAGTACTGAGTACAGTTAAGTTCAGTATCTCAGACAAAAGTTATTCCTAACAGATGAAAAATCAAGGAAAAGTGTTATTTCTGACTACAGGTACCATCTGTGCATGTTTGGGCTGTTGCCAAGGAAAATGACCTTTGCTCACAGAGTATCTTTCACCCTGCTGTCTTTATCTGGCTGTTTCAAGTAGTTGTAAGACATTTTGTATTTGATTATCATTTAGAGGCTGTTAATTTGACCCCTTCTTCCCTTTCTTTGCTTTCTCAGTTCATAAAAGGCCAGGTAAATTTTTACACCAACTACATCATCCACTGATTCATCAGTCAGCCTTTGCAAGTCTCACTCTCTTTTGTCTATTTCCCTGTGAATTAGTTTCCTTATTTATCTGTCAGTGAAGCTTATACTTCCCCACTGCAGATTAATAGTTTGTAGAGGACTGCAAAGAGGGAAAGCAACGCAGAAAGATGCCCATGCAATGCTAGTAGCATTACTGATGCAGGCAGCTTATGTACATGAAGCAAGAGAGTGATCTACAGGTGAGAAGCTCTGTCTCTCACTGTGTTCCTTCCTTTGTTCAGCTGTTGATTTACACCAGTTTAGATAAATGGATTTATTTTTCCCCGCAGACAGCTGGTGAAGAGCAAAAAAGGTAACAAGGAACTGACAGAGAGAAGGAAGCCCAGATAAATAAAATAAACTAGCAGATGTTATGTAAAAGCCTATATCTGACAAATAGAGTTCTTCCGATTCAATGGAGTCTCTCTCTTCTTTTTTAACAGGTGCCCTAAAATTGGCTGTAGCCATGCTGATGTAAAAGGATCAGATCTTGTGCCAGATGAAGCACTTAAAAGAGCAATTGACAGTAAGAATAAACAAAGCTGGTCAACACTGGAGAAGTCAGATGAATACGATACTTCCACAGACAAAATTTGTTGTTAGAGGTCTTGTGAGATAAGCTGCTGATTTTCAGTAGGTTGTATAACTGATAGTTATTTAAAGTGTTTCATGTATAAGCAAGGTTGAAGGTCTCGGCTGTAACTGAAAGCATTTTTTCAACTGCCAACTATGAGGAATTCCAGTTTAACTTGTTCGGGGTTTTTTTAACCTTCCTGAAATTCTGAAAGCTTACATTTTTTAAATAAAGCACATTTTGCAGCATTTAACATTCCTTGTCAGCGTGCTAATGTTTTGAGCGTATTAGAGATGCAGATTCTGCCGCGTGTAATAGCAAGTGATTTGCTCACTGCTGCGGATAGTTCTGTTCTGTAACTGCTGAGAATACTCAGAGTAGGACACTCAGGGTAGGGATTTACCCGTGTGACATACCCTGCTTGGTATCAATCCCATGTTTTAATACAAACCTCAGGAAAACTTAGTAGAGCTTAATTTGTAGGAAGTGCTGCACATCTATACCTTATGTGTAGACACGCAAAATTTCCACTCAGCTTTGTGGATCTTTGCCTTGGTTTTTTATTTCTGAACATTCTCCCCTAACTTCGGCTTTTCTTTTGAGATTCGTAAGCTTCTATTTCAGGCTTTTTTTTTTGCATTTGGAAGTCCCAGGGGGCTTTACCTTAATACTATATAAGTATCAATTATTTACAAATGTATTCCAATAACTAATTTGCAGATAATATTGTAATCACATGCCTTGAATTGAAAATCAGTTAATCTCATTTTATATAAGCTTTAGATACCTATGCATTTGGGCACAGATAAAAAAAAAAAGACTTAAACTTTGTGACATTTCATGTTTGTTACCTAAATTGATCTGAAAACATGTAGCAGATAAGGCACTACATACATGAATTGGAAATAGCCACAGGTAAAAGACCACCATAGGCCTTGGTGGTGAGATGGCAATTCTCACTTGGCATATGTGAAGCAGAAAATTGAGGTTTCTTTGAGCTTTGAGATCCTTAGCTGGTCAGATAGTATTTTCCTAGGTCATTTTTCTGAATTTACAATCTAACATTTGGTGTAAAATGTAGCTAAGGTACCTGAAGGCTGAGCTTTTCACTTTGGGTTACTGTTTGCTAACAGTGTTCCTTGTGTAGACCATTATTAACCCCAGCTGCATCTAAGACTGCAAACCACTTCCAACTGAAATTGTTATTTTATAATTGAAGGATATTAATCTGCAAGCCGATTTCATTGCTAAAAAAGGGAACTGAACCATCATTATTTGCACTGAGCTTTTGTGTTCAAAACACTTCATGGGAATTAGCTGGGTAGTTTTCATAATGTAGACTAACCCCAAAGGTCTGGCTTTTCAAAACTCAGCAGTGATCATGAGTGCTGCTGTCTGCGAAAGCTCAGCTAAAATAGCTGAAAGAGACTGGAGGGTAGTTGAATAGCATGTACTTGTTTGTATTTTTATGTGTAAAATACAAGTCCCTTTTAAGACATCTCAGGTCTCAAACCTGTAGTTTTTAAGGTAGGTCACCAATTTTCAGTTAAATACCACAAGGGAAGATGTTAACAATAGCATTTGTCAGAAAAAAAAAAAAATTAAAATAAAAGGAGGGAACATGGGACTGTCCAAAACTGTTCATAGCTTTTTGTTTTTTCTTTAAGTTTGTGGTTAAATTTACTCCAGCACCATTTATAAGCAGAAGACTCAGAAACAGAAACCTGTGTTGGTTAAACAGTCTGTGCAGTTCCTGACAGAGGTGCATTAACGTCCTCACGGATCTAATTCAATCCCAGTGGTAATCAGTCTCCCAAGTTTTCAGATGCAGAGATGTACATACATTTTACACCGGCACAGTGTCACACGGTGTCAAATTTAGCTAGTCTAGGTGTCTGGATGCTTGAGTGTGCCTTCCAATAACGCAGAACATTATAAATGCTAAAGTATATCCAGATTAATTCATACCAACAAACTGGTGGCAGCAGGTTTGGTTTGCTACCTGTGGTGTTTGTACCAGTATACCCTCACTGGTTAGAGTTCCTGCTACAGTCATTACCCTCATGTTGCAGTGAGTAATGCTGGAAGGGTGATTGCTGTCTTGGTTACACCTTGTTGTTGTGCATTAAAGAGAGAGGCTTGACCCGTAGCAGTGCTAGTGGAAGCTGCACTCAATCTGTCTCTGTGTTAGCTAATCCACAGGTAGTAATGTGAACTGTCTGCCTAAGATGATGCAGGTGGGAGAAAAACTGAACAAATCTGAAGCAATGCTTTAAGAGAACAAGTGAGTCAAGCACTCACTTATTGCCACAATAAGTGGAAAGGTATTTTTGATCGTTCACATTCCTGCCTTCTAAGTACATGAACTTCCTTCTCTTCTTAGCAAGCCTGAGCCAGGCAGCATCAGTGAACCAGAGAGCCCAAACAGCAAGTGCAAGTGCAGCCTGAATTCTGAAATCCTTCTCAGTTTTCAGCTGAAACAAATGGACTTAATTTTGGCAGCACTTACTGGCTTGGTTTTAATATCAATCACATATGAGGTGAAGAGATGTGTATTTAAATAGAAGTAGGTTTGATGCATCATAAGAGATACCTCTTGTCAAGTATGGCCACAGCCATACTATCCAAAAAAAAGACAAATACTCATGCACTTATGTCAGGGTTGCTGATGAGAGTACTTGTGTCCCATCAAAATCAGTGAGGCATCACAGAGATTCAACTGCTAGAGAAAACTGCCTGTATTTACTGAAATCAATGAACTTGTCCCCAAAATGTTTGAATGTAAACTGAATTTAAACTATATCATAACATCCAAGAAATCCTAGTATGGTGAGTGAGAATTTTTTGTTTCATCTCTGAACCTGGAATTTGAGCCATCCTGTTGGTTTTTCAGAGCTAGTTCTCTCTTCTTAGTTCTTGCAAGCAATTTCATTCTGAAACTGAGAGATTACAGGCTTGGTCATCAGCATGAATCGCACCTGGCGTTTTACTGGGTAGAAGGACAGACTCGCCTTGGCAATTGGGAAGGCTTCTGTGCCTGTCAACTGACGTGGTAGAAGTTATAAACCGCTACTGATTCACCAGGGAGGCTGCAGTTACTGGCAGCTCTTTGCTCTTTCATTTGCAAAGAAGTCTGGGGCTTCTTATGCAGCTGTGATTTCGCTGTTCCCCTGTGTCCTCTGTCCCTCATAATCGCCACACTGGATAGAAGTAGCTTGAAAGAGTTAAAGATTAAAAATAAGTGTCTGTGATGAATAAGCTGATCTCTATGATTCACAGAAGTGGAAACTCAACAGCAGTTAAACCTGCAAATCTTAATCTGTTTTGGCTATAAGATATCATATGTAAACAGGCATATGTTCACAGTTCACAGGGTAATTTGTATCTCGTTGTTTGACGTCAGAAATTTTGCAACAATATTTAAGGAAAGAAACTTAGAGATGAGGTGCGTTTTTTTTCTTTTCCGTAAGGGCTGCTTTACAAAAGCAGCAAACCTCCATGTAGCTGATAAGGGTCTGTCACAGGAATTTCCTGAGAATCTCTCTCTGCCAGAGAACAGAAGTTTCACATAGTAGTTTGAGTGATTAAAGAAACATCTAATCAAACATGTAAAAAAAAAAAAAGGCAAGAGAGATCTATATGCAACAGCTTTCAGTAGTACCCCAAGGCAAGGGACATTAACACAGCTCCCTCACTTGAACAGATTCTCTCTGTGAAGCAGAATTCTCCATTTTACAACTGGAGACTCTGAAGTGTTCAAACCAGTGGAGCCATGACATGTAAAGATAAAAACTAATCAGGCGGGCATCTCATGGAAGATTTAGCACACTTGTGCTAAAAGGGGCACACATTCCTCTGAATCAAGAATACATTCATCATTACTGCTTCGGAGCTGTGATCTTATTCATTCTAGAAGAATCAAAAAGATTGGGCTAAGTCAGGGCTCCCTTGAGAAATACCCGGAGCAAACGCAGGGGCTGCAGGAAGTGATACCGATGACTCAACAGCCAAGGCCAACACACTGCCTTATTTTAGACAATGTCCTTTTGGACGTGTTCATGTTTCCTCATGAGTGGCTGATGACAAAGGTCTTGTCTACCTGTGGTCACAAGTACCTCGTGACGTTTTTCTCAAGAATAGCTCTAGTGTTGTGGACAAAACTAGCTTAGAATTCACTGTGAAACTTGATTAACTTCCAGTGCTGGTTTAAGTGAATGTTAATCTCTATCTTCACTAAAAATCTCAGTGGGATCCTGAGGTACTGTGTGGTCCATTAACCAAACATTTCCGTAATGGATAGTGCTCTGTTATACAGTGAAGAGGAGGCACTAGGAAAGGGCTTCCTGGAGTAGAAAATGTTGTAATATCCCAAGGACAGACCTTCCTTTCTGTTGTTATAGCCAAAGCCTTAAACTGATGGTTCCTCACTGCAAGTACAGACTAGTACTGACTGCAAATTACAAGTTTTCCATAAGTAATGGTTTATTTTCTGGTCATAAAGTACTGACTGTTGATATATATTATCTCAAACACGTGATGTGGTCACAGCAATGCTCACAGGAGAATCCTATGCGTAGGTGCCAGTGGATTCTAGGCTGCCAGCCAGTAACTAAAGAAGCAAAAACATTTGATTGATTGTTAAGCAAGTAAAATTCTGGGATGCATGTACATCGTACAGTAGATACCTTTGTGTGTTCTTCGCCTCGTGATGCATGAGCAATCTCAGCGACTTAACAGGACAGCAGCAATGCACAGAAAGCGCTGTGCATTTCACTATTTCAGAATGCTGCAGAAAATGCTGTGGTGGGCTGAGAGAGCCTGCCTCACTCGCTTATTCTGATGTTAGTCCAGACCCGAAGACAAGGCTTGAAAGCACGCACATGAATTGAATTGCATGGGAAGCTTACCAAAGGAAGTGTTTGCTTGTAAACTCAGTATGAATAGGATCTTCTCTGACCGCAAGGGAAATGGAGAGACACTCATTCACTGTCCGCTTGTGCAATCAACTTCTGAAGTAAAAACAGGATTTGAGGTTTAAAACCTGAACCTTCACACGTCTTTCAAGCAACAGAAGAAGCCTTCATGCTCTTTAGTCTGCAAAGGAACAAAGTCAGGAGGTGCTGCTCATGAGACTCCCTGGATTCGATAACAACTGACTTATCAAAAGAGAATTATTTAGAGTTCCTAGGAACAGCAACCCTCAGAGCAGCTTCTGCGCGCGCTTAAGGGGAGA